TATCAAGATCACAACATTGGATGGACAGCGCGTCCGAAACACGGCAGTGAAGGGTTCGTCCGGAAGGGAAAGTTCAAGAAGGCATCCAACATGAATTACGGCCTGATGCTATCATGTAAAGTGGAGGAGAAGCTACAAGGGCTTCATCGGAACTCTGCCTGGACTCAAAATGACGAAGCGGAAGCCTACAATCAATGCTTGCAAGAGGTTCTTGACGAGACTCCGCGTGCTTGGGCTGAAGGCAACATTCGAATGGGAGACTATATCTTGCTCATCGACAGCGATACCCGGGTGCCAGCAGATTGCCTGTTCGATGCTGTAAGCGAGATGGAACAGTCGCCTAATGTTGGAATCATGCAATTTGCGTCTGGCGTCATGCAAGTCGTGCACACTTTCTTCGAGAACGGCATCACCTTCTTCACCAACCTGATATACACCGCCATCGAATACACGGTCGCCAACGGAGACGTCGCACCCTTTGTCGGCCATAATGCGATCCTGCGATGGAGTGCCATTCAGCAGGTTTCCTACACGGATGAAGACGGCTATGAAAAGTTCTGGTCTGAGTCACACGTGAGTGAGGATTTCGATATGTCCCTCCGACTGCAATGCAACGACTACATCATCAGACTAGCGTCTTGGGCGCATGGAGGCTTCAAAGAGGGCGTCAGCTTGACAGTCTACGACGAACTTGCTCGATGGGAAAAGTATGCCTATGGCTGCAACGAACTCTTATTTCATCCGATGCGGAAGTGGATTTATAAGGGTCCTTTCACCGAGCTTTTCCGACGGTTCCTGTTTTCGAACATCCGTTTTACTTCGAAAATCACCATCATCAGTTATATCGGTACTTATTACGCCATCGGAGCGGCCTGGATCATGACGTTGGCGAACTACTTCGCAATCGGTTGGTTCAATGGCTACCTGGACAAGTACTACATCGACTCGTGGAAAGTGTGGTTCAGCATTGTGATTGTCTTCAACGGTTTGGGCAACGTCGCTCTTGCGATCATGCGGTACCGCATAGGTCAGAAGTCATTCATTTCGGCACTCATGGAAAACTTCAAATGGATTGTTATGCTCTCCATCTTCCTGGGCGGGCTGTCACTGCACGTATCTCAGGCACTGTTGGCACACATGTTTGAGATCGACATGACGTGGGGAGCTACTTCCAAGGAAGCCGAGTTCTCGAACTTTTTCATCGAAGTACCCAAAGTGGTGCGGAAGTTCAAGTTCAGCATCGCGTTTGCGCTTCTCGGCATCGTCGGCATGATTGTTCTGGCGACCAACCCGGGTGGATATATACCATATGACTGGGTGATCAAGGACTTCATTGCCATCTTGCCGATGAGTACGGTGACAGTAAGTCATTTGCTGTTGCCAATAGTGCTGAACCCAGCGTTGATGACGTTCTCGTGGTGATGTGGTGCACGGGAGTATGGGACGGGAATCTCGTGGTGATGTGGCGCACAGGAGTATTGGGACGGGAATCTCGCAGGCGATGGCGCTCTGAACGGGAATACTTTGGCACCTATTAATGAAGAGATTTGGTGATGGCGTACCAAAAGAACACGCTTCGAAGACTAGCGTTGGTATCAGGGCATTTGGGCGTCTCTGACGAGGGCGACTAGAGGGTCCCACTGTAACGAATGTGGTTACCTGATGCAGTCATCGAAGGACACACATCAAAGGCGCCGTCAAGTTTCGTTCTGTTATGGCGCAAGTGCTGTACATTTGACTCGGAAGAAGTGGTCCGCGATATAAGAGCGCACAGAAGGTCGCGGTGGCAGCCCGGTTCGCGTGCACCGTCTTCCTCTTTCATGGAAACCGATTCACGTTGAGACGGAGATGGATTCTTGATCAACACGAACAGCGCCAGGGCTCCACGAGGATGACTGAATTTTTGTCCACACAACAAGCGTCGGCCGGCCGGAGTGAGGTTCGCTGGAGAAGGCGGAGATGTTGGACCACCGACACATGATATTTGGTCGCTCCTGTACGCAGCAACAACATTGTCAATCTGCTTGAATCGGTCTCCCGCATGTAAAGAAGAGTCCGATGGTGTTGCGCGGTTGCTGCTCTTATTTCCAACCCCCGGTCTTGTTGCGATTTTGTTCCCCTGTCCGCCGATGGTATCTTGATGGACCATTGCCTGCCTCCACCTGACGCCGTTTCGAAGGTCGGTTCGACACATCTCCATGTTCGGTTTCGTTCAAACTCCCTTGCACATCCTCGGCGGTGTCTTCCTCATATTGGAGCTGCCACCGGTCCCAGCGCCGGCGGTAGAGGATGTGTGTCCCCAGTAAAGACATCTTCGGTCGATCCCAAAGTCGAGCGAAACCGTTCTTTCTCATGTTCCTCGCTTCGCTTGTCGAATCAAAGTACGACTCGCTGATTTTGCTCTCAGGCGCAGGCTGTCGGGTAAGTGATGGTGACAGTGAGCTAGTAGAGACAAAGTCATTAAAGTGACGGGCTACGAGATCGTCCCTGCATCAACTTCCCTGTGAGAGGTTCACTTACTCGTATGGCCCTTAATTTTCGCGGAGAAGCGACAATGCACTCAAGAAAAGGTGGTGTTTGTAAACTTGAAAATCAGGCGTTTGAATCAATCAGGTCCCCAATCAGCAAACGACCAGTGAATGTCCTCCACTGCGGACAGGCGAGAGCGAACCAAGGGTCGCTGCTCAGTGATCAGACTGTTCAAGCTATCATACCATCATAGAACCAGTGTTGTTGAATTCATCTTCACTTTGCTTTCTCACTTTTGCCTTCTGCTATAGCTCAACCCCGCCTACACACCGTGGCCATCACGTTACCTTTAGCACGGCTCTTCCTGCAAGCTTGCCAGCGACCATCATGTCGATGTACTTGTCCAGGTCTTCCAGAGTTCCTTTGGTCAAGATGGGCTGGAAAGTGAAAGTCAGCACGGCGAATGGGTCTGAGGATCTGTCCAGTGTCCACTCACGTGTACCAGCCCCCGTGCTGTAAAGTCCAGTGCTTCTTCTACATCTTTTAACGTCCCAACCACACTACCCACAATGTTCAACTTCTTGAGGCACAACAATAGAGGAGGAGCGCCCGCCAACACCGTGGGATCCTTCGGTAAGCCAACGGCCACGACCGTGCCACCTGGACGGAGCAATGCCGGAGCAGAAGCATAAGCCTCCTTGGTCGCTGCAGTCACGATGACTCCATGAGCTCCGTATTTCGTGATTCTCAGGACCTCGGCAGCGATATCCTGAGTTTTGGTGAAATCGATGAACTCTTCCGCGCCCAGCCGTTTGCAGAGGTCGCGCTTCTCGTCTCCGCCATCAACGGCGATGATCCTCATGCCCTAAGGCATCACATTAGCGGGGCCGCAGAGACCCGGAATACTCGAACCTACCATAGCTTTGGCGTACTGCACGGCAAAATGCCCGAGGCCGCCACCCGCGCCAGGCAATACCTAGTTTGTTGTTCAGCACGGGTTTCTCATGATCGGCCGACCATACTCACTATCCACTGCCCGGGTTTCACAGCACTCCGCTTGCAAGCGACATATGCTGTAACTCCTCCACACATGATGGGCCCAGCTTCCTCATCCGAGACGCCGTCGGGGATTCGAGTGGTGTATCTTCCGTCGCTCAAGGCATATTGTTGGAAAGTTCCAGCGGCGCTGAACCCGGAGTTCTTCTGATGGGGACAATGCAGCTCGTCGACGCCGTTGGTACAGAACTCGCATTCGCCACAGGTACTCCAGACCCATTTGATGCCAGCACGATCACCAACCTTCCATTTGTGGTGCATGGCGTCTCCAACAGCAACGACAACACCAGCCCCTTCATGGCCTGCAATGCCCTTTGTCTCTGGCCTCATGGACAGGCCGAATGACGCCCACTCATCCTTGATCAACGACTTGTCAGAAGCACAAAGTCCAGTCCTAGCTGGCTGTTAGTAATGGCAGGCGCGCCGGGAAGGGGGACATGCCAGTTGATCTTGACCAGGACTTCCGTAGGACCAGGAGTGGGCACGTCGATCTGCTGGACAGGGGCTTTGGAATCTGCCCCTTCGCCCTGTTTGATAGCAGCCTTCTGCTGTTTTGGGATTGATACTGTCGCCATAATGATTTCGGAATAGATCGAAGTGTTAAAATCAGCGGCAGAAGAGCCGAGTACTGTTTCCTTTTCGGCCAAGGGAGGGAAGGAATACTCCAGGCGAAACACTTCAAATCAAGACTTTATACCACAGGGCTCTGGTTTGGTACGAACCGTCCACGGTCCGCTCGCGGTATGATCGCGTCAATAGGGAGAGACCCGCTCCCCCGCAAATATTCGACAGCCATGAATCGGGTGAAAGCTTGAAAGGCGGGGTACCGTTCAGGCCCTGGAGAAGACACCAATAGGTGGTTTGTCTTAGAGACTCTTGTGAGCATATGATGTTGATGCGGAAGCGCAAAGAAGAGCTTCATGGGGCCTGATTGGCCTTAGCAACCATGGCAGGCACGCAGCATTCGCTTGCCGTGGTTCATTGCCTGACTCGACTATGTTGGCACGCCCCAGACTGATCCACGGGCACAAGGCATGCGCACAAGTACCTCGGCACAGGCACGAACCGTTCGATGATGCCAGTCCGGCTCGATCATGTTGTGTTTGTGTCAGGTATTGGGAGCCTATACTTCGTAGATGCGAGTCTACTGGCATACAGAGAAGGACAATGCAATCAGATCGCAAGGTGAACCTGAAAAGGAAGGGCTACCGAGGCGCTTGGATGTTTCGAGCAGCGGCTTGCGATTCACAACTGAGCAGGCAGACCCTTGGTTACCACGTCGGAGTGACGGAGGTCGTTTCCTGTACCTCCAGACCACTTCTTCTGCTTTCTCGGTGGACGCCTCGACTCGGCCCTACATCATGGTGCTTGCTGTATGGCTGCTCTCAGTCCATGCTCAATAGCATGCGCTTCGAGCCGACGATGGCTGACCGAGCTTCTACCAGGCTATCGGGCAGATATGCTCCAATGCATCCATGTCCCATAATCTCGCCCAATGCCAGAAGCTAGTGCAGAAAGCCGTGGCTGCTGGTGCCAAGGTAGGCTCTGAAACTCTGTCCATTTGATGCCAGCTAGATCCACCTCGACAAGACACCGACCTGATCCTCACGCGCACACCTATCTCCTAGGCCCTCTTCCTCCCCGAAGCCTCTGACTACATTGCTTCATCTCCAGCAGAATCGGTCGAACTATGCCAAGATGTGTCGAGGAGCCCCTTCGTGCGGGGCCTGCAGAAGGCTGCGCAAGAGAATTCTTTACCGATAAACGTTGGGATCCACGAGCCCACCGATCCCCCTTCAAAGCGAATCCGAAACACCCTGATATGGATCGACCACAAAGGCAACATTGCCCACAGGTACCAGAAGCTCCACCTTTTCGACCTTGACCTTCGTCCGAGCGGCCCCAGGTTGAAGGAGAGTGATTCGACCGAACCTGGCAATGAGATTGTGCCACCACACCCTACGGCCCTTGGTAGAGTCGGAAGTTTGATATGCTTCGATCTGCGATTCCCGGAACCAGCACTGCGTTTGCGCCGACTGGGCGCCGACGTCTTGCTCTATCCTTCCGCTTTCACAGTCCCAACAGGAAAGCTCCATTGGGAGATTCTACTGAGAAGCCGGGCTATTGAAACACAATGCTGGGTCATTGCTTCAGCACAGTGCGGCAAACACAACGGGAAGCGTGTGAGCTACGGAGATACCATCGTCATCACACCGAATGGACAGATTGCAGGACGGTTGGAACATGTCGAGAACGTCGAAGACGAGAAGGAGCAGACTCGGGAACCCGACATTCTTACAGTTGACATTGATCCCGAGGCAGTCAAGCAAGTGAGACATAGCATCCCACTGCAGAGGAGGACTGATGTGTATCCTGAGGTATAGCGAGCTGGTCCCGGAACCACGTCGAGGACAACACCTTGCCTGTTATGTTCCTAGGGCGGACATGAGGATGAAGAGGCCGACAACCCACCTGTCGACTCCCCACCCATGATGACCGATAGATGCGTTGCTCACCCGCCGAAGATAGTGCACATCATCCTCTTATCGGACAATTACCTAGGATCGAGGGTGCCGTGCCTGTGCATGCCCATGACAAGTCGTCCTCGCCTGGGAACGAAAGTAATAGTGCCTTGCAGCCAATGCCCCAGAAACAGCTCGTGCACTGTAAATTGCAGCCTACATGCGTAAACGTTGCGCCCTTCTGTCAGGAACTCGACGTTCGTACGGAGTACTCGGACAACGCCAGGATTGGCAACCCGTTTTCAAGTATGATCTCATCGCGCGCTGACAACCCTTCGTACATTGCACCCTCCTAGATTCTTGTTGCGGTCCTACGGTAAGTCCGCCGGCGCAGCGGAAATAGAGTCTCGGTGCGCACTTTGCTGCGTCGCCACTGGGCTGATCGTACAACACCCCCCGCCAGTTCGCGTCGCACCACACTCTGCATTCGAAATCGGACATTTGATACACCTGGAGTGAGCTGTCTAATGTGGTCACTGTGCGGTCTCGAGTTCGGAGAGGAACCTTAAGGACAATTCGTGACCTCGATCACGGGGAAATCGTTACTGGCGGCCACAACAGAGCGAGCGCTTTTTGGCGCTTTCTTCCACCCAAAAGTCGCATCTCTGATATCTCTCTGTCTGCACAAAGAGACTCTGGTTCGTCTCAGTCGATCTACCGGAAGTTACCGTGTACAATCACCGAGGTGAAAGCAGTTGCTGATGACGTATTATTTCCGATTCGGTTTGCTTACATTCGAGCCTCTGCAGAGACCGTAGTACTCTCCGCTGCCGTATAGCCGATCTCGGACCGGGTTAAGTCCAGCGCCATGCGGCCGCTCTCTAGTGTTGATTGGCACAGGAGGAGACATATCGCGGACTTCATCAAATCTAGGAATGTTGATATACAACCCTCGAATGCCACCAGCTGTTATGGAAGGGCGACAGACTTGCAAGCTTGATTGATCATTTTCCAGCCGAAATGGAAGGGCAAGACTCTGCAGCACCGCGAACGCCATTTTCTTTAGCCTCAACAGTCACATTGGATGATGTCCCAGAGGTTGAGAAAAGAGACATGCCGCTAGATTCAGCAAGCGACGTCCTATCGCAGAAGGACCTTGAGAGTGAAGGAACCCCTGATGTACCAGTACCGATGAAATCGCTAGTCGACGTCAACAACTCCCTGGTTGACTTCGATGGACCAGACGATCCAGAAAACCCCAAGAACTGGTCAAAGGCTAAGCGGTGGGGGATTACTGCTTCGATGGGTTTGATGACATTTGTGGTTACGTTTGCGAGCAGGTACAATTCCGTTTGCTTGCTTCGAATGGGCTTTGGGACCGGCTAACGGGATGTTCCCAGTATCTATGCTGTTGCGATTGAACCTGTTGCGAGAGAGTACCATATTGGCTACGTCCCCTCGACTCTTGGGGTTTCGTTGTTTTTGCTCGGGTTTGTCCTAGGGCCCGTGTTCGTAAGTCTCTCTCACCTCCAGAGGACTGTCCCTTTTTGGCGAGGAGTTGTTGCTGTTCCCGCGTCGATATAGGCTGACGTGAATCTATAGTTCGGACCAGCGTCAGAAGTCTTTGGTCGACGCGTCCCACTCTTTGCCGGTTACCTCATCTTCGCCATCTTCCAAATACCAGTTGCGGTTGCTCAGAACGTTGAGACTATCATGCTCGGTCGCTTCTTCGGAGGATTCGCTGCTTGCGCACCATTGGCTGTTGTAGGAGGAGCTATGGCCGATATCTGGGGACCTCTTGAGCGGGCTTATGGGATCTGCGTTTTTGCAGCTGCAGCTTTCGTAAGTCATCCTCTTCCTTGAACCGGACAATTTCTGATGTTGGAAAAGACCGGACCTGTGGCTGGGCCGATTATGGGCGGGTTTATTACTCAGTCTCATCTTGGCTGGCGCTGGACTGCCTGGATCACCCTGATCATGGCAGCGCTCTTCGGATGCATTGGACTTGCCGTCATCCCCGAGACCTCGGCGGCCAGGATCCTGCAAATCAAAGCCAAGCGACTCCGATACGAGACCAAAAACTGGGCCTTACATGCGAAGGCAGACGAAAGCCGGGTTGACTTCGAGACCATCACGCGCATTTATCTCGTCCGCCCATTTGTCATGGTCGTACAAGAGCCAATTCTGGCCCTGATCACGGTCTACATGAGTTTCATCTACGGCATCATCTACCTTTTATTTGAAGCATATCCAATTTCGTTCCAAGAGGAGCGCGGCTGGAACGCTGGAGTCGGATCACTTCCATTTGCGGCTTTTATTGTTGGCATCGCCATGGGAACCGGAGTCATTGCTTGGTCTACTCGAACCAACTTTGCGAGAGCTTTCAAGAAGCACGGCAAGGTGGTACCTGAGGAACGATTACCTCCCATGATCGTCGGAGCCGCCGTCCTCCCCATCGGCCTTTTCATCTTCGCCTGGTATGTCCTGCATTTTTGAGTGCTTCTAGGGTCAAGCGCTAACCGACATCAGGACGTCCAATCCACACATTACTTGGGTGCCTCAGGTGCTCGCCACGGCTCTGCTTGGAATGGGATGTCTAATAACGTTCTGGGTTTGTCGCTTACCCTTCTGGCTTCTGGCTTAGCTGACATGTCGCAGCAAGGGATCAATTATATCATTGATTGTTACGGCTTTTACTCCAACAGCGCCATCGCAATCAACACTTTCATTCGATCAATTGCCGGTGCCGGCTTCCCGCTGTTTGCACCAGCTATGTACCACAACCTCGGCGTAGCGTGGGCAACGTCACTTCTGGGATTTCTCTGCCTAGTTTTCTTCCCCGTACCTGTTCTTTTTTACAAGTATGGGTCGAGGATCAGGGAGAGGTCCAGATTTACACCCACCGCGTGAATATTTGCACGTTTGGCAGATTGGCGGAAAGTGAGAACGAGTTGTAAATCATCGATGCATTTTAGCAGGTTGAAGCGATTCCATGCATTGCGGGCGGAGTTCATGGGACTACACGGGGAAGGAAGGGTCTCGTCTGGAGCTTTGTAAGCGGCTTTAACGATAATTAATCACCGTTATTCTTCTTTCCCGCGGCATTGTGCTACTGTAGGTGTACTTATGCAGTAACTCGTACAGACGGTACCAACGGCTGGTGACGGTGGTAAGTCCGGTCTCTCAAAGTCATCATCCCAGCGGAATATTGAAAATGGTTGCTTAGTTGCTACAACCGAATAGTGCTGGGATGTGACTCTTTTGGAGGACATGATGAATTCAGAGGGGTTGGGGGCAGACCTGACTATATAGCAGGTAGTTACAGAGACCCAAGGTACGTTAGGTATACCTAGGTAAACAAAATTACAGTGCTTTACACAGGGGGTTACGGTCCATGACGAGTCCTTGGTGCTGTCAGGCCAACTGTCGGGTGACCTTCCCAGTCACAGGGAGCACCGTATATATACACGTGACTCGTCACACTTGCTTAATAAGGCGTGCGTCCTGTCAGTTCACAATCGAACCGCCACCCAGAAGCTGAGGAGGTCTCGACCGAGAGCTGCCCTCCCGCACCTCTAGACGTCTCGTATTTCACGGCACGGCCGTCTTGGAAACTTAACTTCGACATCTTCTGCTGTCATCCTCTTCTTCACTGGGCTTCGGTCGTTCACGCAAAATGGATAAAATCCCCCAGCCACCCGCCAGCGGCCGCCTCTCGCCGAGCGCAGAGCTGGGTCCTCTTCAGCTTGCGCACGCAAGGATCTGATTCAACCCCACCTGTTGCGCCGCAGCGGGCATCTTCGCTGCTACAAGCTACCACTGTACCGAGCAATCAGCAACCAGTCCTGATTTGTAGAAGCTGACCCCATTGGCACGTCCAGAATTGGCGTGGCGTATGCCGACCTCGAGCGGGGCCCCACGCAGATTACAGCTCCTCCAGATTGCTGTTCATCGCATCTGTCAAGCCTTTTGACCCCGGTCACGCTGGCGAAGGTACTGCGTATCACGTTATGGTGGGGACCTTATCTGCTTCCATCCAACCCAAATATCGCGTCGTCTTCCCCAAATCTGCGGAGATGTGGTACTCGTATCGTGGGGCAGGTCGGTAGGATCCAAGAGCTGCGCGTGGCTTGAGGCCCAGATCCAGATCACCATATCGAAACGTGCATGCTGACTGCAGATTTACCGGGGAACTGGAGTACCCCAACTCCGCGCAGAGTCCGCCAATGAGGTATATCGACTTCTGAGATGCCCTGTCTCGGGGTAAGCAAGGAGTCAAGCTCGCCCAGCTTGGAGAATGTCCAGAGCGACTGCTGTTCTTAGTGTCCCCTTCTAGACCTTCTCCAGAGCTCATATAGATCGGAGTCGGGAAATGCGCCCCAGGTCAATCCACCACGGTTTCACCCATCCCTTGAGAAACGGCACCATGAAGACGGCAACCAACTACAATTTCCTCATCGTCCTGATCGTCACCTTTGGGTCATTGACGTATGGGTACAACTCTGCTATCATCGGAGCCGTGATAGGCCTCCCGTCCTTTTTCCAGTACTTCAACATCGACATCACGTCGGGTGACGGTTCGCGGATTACTGGCGGTGAGTGCTTGCGCATAGGAACTCCGACACCAATGCTAACGTTTCTGTCAGCTACCAATGGACTCTTTGCTGGAGGCGGCTTCATCGGCTGCTACCTGATAACATGGCTGGCCGACAAGGTGGGCAGGAAAAGATCCATCCAGATCACCTCGTGTCTCTGCATCGTGGCCGGTGCGCTGCAAGCTGGATCTGTCCATATAGCGATGTTCCTGGTCGCTCGGTTCTTGATGGGGATGGGCGTTGGCATGGTCAACGTCATCACACCACTGTATCAATCTGAAGTCTCCCCTGCTCATTCCCGAGGAAGGATGGTCGGCAGCCATGGCTTCGTCCTCTGCGTCGGTTATGTAAGTACTGCCCTGAATTTCCATCCGACTATGGCTGATGGTAGAGCAGGGTCTTGCGGGATGGACAGGCTACGGCTGCTACTTCTTGAAGAGTCAAGTCGCTCAATGGCGCCTATGCTTAGCCCTTCAGATCGTGCCACCTTTAGGTCTCCTGATCGGATCTTGGTGGGTGCCAGAATCCCCTCGCCATTTAGTGGCCACGGACCAACAGGAGGCTGGGTTCGCGATCCTCAAGCGACTCCACCACCATCCGGACGACGAAGACGACACCATCGCTCGTGAGGAACTTTACCAAATCCGCCTGCAGCTGGACTTGGAGAAGCGACAAGGTTGGAGACAGGGTTGGATCAAGGGCTGGATCCTGCTGTTCACCAGGAAATCATACCGGAAGCGCATGCTCTTTGGCTTTTTACTGCTGTAAGTGGACTAGCAATCCCGCTTCCCCCCTTCCCTTTACCGTTGGAGTGAGAGGTATGGAGAAACTTTGAGATCAAGAGACGCTATGGAAAGGAAAGGTGGCCGTACACAGACGCGAATCACACGCTAGTCACTCCTGCAGCCCGCCTCTGCTCCATGATCTTTCCCCCTGGTTCTCCGTGCGTCCGCTAACAAACAACAGCGGTTTGGTCCAAAGCACGGGCTGCCTTGTGATTAACAATTACCAAGTTCTTCTCTACAATGGCCTCAGCCTTTACGGATCGATGCCGTTATTGCTGTACGCCTTGTGGGATACTTGGGCTGCGATCATGAATCTTGTCAACGCGCTGCTGCTGGATAAGGTCGGTCGTATTCCAATCATGGTTATCGGGCAGGTATGTTGGTTCCTCCTCACCCCCTTTCCGACTTTTGACAGATCTAGATTGGGTGCGCCGTCTCCGTTGCCGGTTTCACGGCTTGCCTCGCAAGATACGGCGGCACTGACAACCGCCTCGGAAATGGTTTCGGTGTCTTCTTTCTCTACCTCTGTAAGCTTCTCCATGGCGCCTTCAATGATTGTTCCTGACTAGCCAAGTTGTCACGTTCTTCGGCGGCTCAATGGACGCCTCCTCATACGTCTACTCATCCGAGATCTTCCCCACCTCGATCCGTGCTCAGGGCGCCGGGTTCAGCGTCTCCGGGTTGTTCGCCTTCAGCTTGATCTACACCATGTGTGCTCCGGTTGCCTTTAACAATATCGGCTGGAAATATTACCTCATCTTCATCATCGTCCCGCTGTTCGGAGCGACAATCATGTACCTATTCTACCCGGAGACCAAGGGTTTGGCTCTCGAAGAGATCGCCGCGAAGTTTGGAGATGAGGTCGCTGTCAATATCACGGATCTCTCCGCTGAAGAGAGGGCCAAACTTGACAAGAGTCTTGTCAACACGGATATCATTGAGCTGGAGGTGAAAGTCTAGGGCCCCATTGGCAGAGCAAGATGGTGGTAGCAGCATGGTTTGCCTATGGCGACTGCAGCTACAATTTGGGTACATATGATCTGCACGACGACTATTCAACTTGGCTCCATTGCTACTCCGTCACTCCGTATATCTCCTTCCTAATTCAGCATGATCTTCGCCAGCTGTATCTTGCCCACCTGGAGGACAGACTACGTTTCTTTCCAAGATTTCGCGCAAAGTACGTGAGCTACGTGGTACGACTTCCGGTGTAAGCAGTGCCATCGCCTCAACAACAGGCTGCTCCGGACAATGACGATCCGCAAAAACAATCCGTGGGAGACCAAGTCGGAGATATCAGGGCTCATACCCCTCCCTGAACGAGATGTCTCGCTGTTCGCCCACACATCAGGCCCGCCCCGTCACCACGGGGAGCCTGTGGTGATTCTGTTCACCGGCGCCGGCGCACCAGCAGCCACGTACGTCAAGGTGCAACAGCACCTCAGCCGCTTCGTTCGTACACTCTTCTACGATCGAGCTGGCTATGACCAAAGCACCTTGCCCTCCTCGAACGTGGAGTCATTGACAGCGCACAACACGGCCCATGATCTCGACGCGCTGCTGGAGAAGATCGGCGTCTCCCCGCCGTACATATTGATCGGCCACTCGTACGGAGGAATCCCCCTCCGGGAATTCTTGCATCTTCAGCTCACGAAGCATCGACCGCCGTTGTCCCCGCTGGCAGTTATCGCTGGCGTGGTATTGTACGACACGGGCACCGAGGTCGCATTTGCATTGTTCCCGCGGATCCCGAGCGCCGATCTCGTCGCCGTGACCAAGGACGTCGACTGGAAGGCATTGACGCATCTCCGACAAGAGTCAGGCATGACGGACGACGAGTGGGATTGTGCCATCGAGGCGGGTCTGCGGACGGCCACGAAACTGGCGAACAAGCGGGAAGACACCCACGCCAGTGCGAGGGCGTTGGCGGAGAGGAGACAGCTCGAGAATCACGCCTACCGGGGTGGCAATGTGGTCGTGATACGGTGTAACAGCGTGAGGGACTATCAGACGATGTACGACGAGGGCGTCCGACTCGGGGGCGGCACTGAGGAGGAAAGAAGAGGTGCAACGAAGTTCATTGAGGATTGTAGCCTTTATAACTATTCAATGGTTAAGGCGCAGGTTGATCTGGTCGACCTGCAGGGGAAGGCGCTGTACCGGGAGTTGATGGACTGGGGGCACGATAGCCCATTCAGGAACCCGGACCTGGTGGGAGATGCTGTCAAATGGGTGCTAGACGAGCTGAGAAAGCAAGAAGAGAGTCATGAGAAAGTGACTTTGACAGAGTAAGAGGTAATTCCAGCGGCGATGGTCACCTCTATACATGAAGTTATAGTCGAGCGGCGCCATGTTCACCTCACTCATCCCGGCACTGACTGACAATCCGCATATGTGTAGGTTAGCGAGATAGCTTGAGTATCGCCTCTGCCAGTGGAACACAACTTATCTGGTGACCTGAAAACCAGGTCGTCTTCAACCTCCTCCAGTCCAACTCTCTCCTGCTGCAACCCCTGGTGGGCCTTTCTCTCGACACTCGTTGACCACCCTAGAAGAAACCTCTCTATGGTCTAGAGTCATTGTTCTGAACAGAGAGTTTCATGATCGCGCAGTGGTAATAATCAGTTGCGATGCAATCTTCCAAGATCTGACTTGACCAACTCTTCCAATTCTTCCTAAGTCGAGTGGTTGCAATAGATGCGGCGGGTTGGACAGCCAAAGGATTGGTGAGCGCGCTGGAGTAGGTTGATGGCCGTATGGCAATTCATTCCAACCAACAGCAACTTTCAGAGATCGATCGCTACGCGCTTGATACGGGATGTCACTAAAAGTATCTGCGAAACCTTGGGTTTTCATCTTTGAAATCAATGTGCCTGTCCTCAGTCATTGAAACAATCGCGGGCGCGCCTCCGTTATCTAGACCAGTCGGTGTGTGGAAAAAATGGCCAGGATGTACATACAATGAGGTGTTCTTCATACCCATCTGGCCTTTTGGGCCAGCCGGAGATCGCGAGATTGCACAGTGTAGGAACGCAATTGATCAAAGCGAGAGGATGAAATAGCGGGGAAGTGGTCGTGCTCGGAGGCTGCATTCTCAGAGGGATGATGCGTAGGTATAGCATGTGTAGCGCTCCTGAAGAGGACGCGGGTTGAGCACTGGCGAGTCGATCCTATCTAGGGCCACAGTTCCTGGTTCGAGTGCTAGTCGGTTGAGAAGGAGTAGTAGTCTCGCCAAATTGACAGCATAGGTTCTGACGATGTGGTGTATCCCTTCCGCACGCTATTGTATGTCTGGATGAGACGAAAAGTAACAATATTTTAGATCTGGCTATCCGCTTGCAAACCAATTCATGCACCTTTAGGCCAGCCCCGAAGGGTACATCTGTGTCCGTGGCTGGACCGTACGGCGCGGGAGGGGCTCAGAGGCGACGATTGTAGACATGTCTGGAGAATCGTGTCGACCAGGGAAGTAGGGCTTCGGGGCCTTGACGAGTTGAGGTGTAGCAACCTATGCAGTCAATGATGCCATGAAAACCACACAGAAGGGGGGATACAGAGGTTACCAAGGTGTCGAGGTCACGTAAGAAGAGGGGGAGGGTAAACTTGATCGGCGACGAAGTTGCAAAACATTGGATCGACGACTCTCTCCACAGTCGCATAGCCCATGGCTAATTAGAGGAAATTCACAAGACCACGCGGCCAGACTGAGCTTCAGTATGAATCTCTTGTTGACGACAACAAGGTCGGCTTGATGCCAACAAAGGCGCAGTCGGAGCGCGGACATAGCCGACTGTACAAGTACTTCTCACGAACGTCAGAATCATGAACCATCACACCATCACGCCTCGCGCAATTTCACGCCCAGCTTATGTTCCTGCCGACTTGCCGTCTTGGTCTCTAGGCTTTGTGTATTGTACGTTCGACTCTCTGACATGCAAGGACAAATTGGGTGAAGAGAAACCGCCGCCATGTCCCAACCCTCTACCCTTGTGAATGCATTAAGTGACCCCGAGGAGTATTTCGACCTTGGCTCGTTTCACCGGCCTGTCAGTACTGCTAGCCGCGAAGCCCAGGTCTGGTTCAACCGTGGACTTGCATGGAGCTACGGATTCAACCATGAGGAATCAGCTGAGTGTTTCAAGAAGGCTATCGCCATCGACCCTGGTTGTGCGATGGCTTACTGGGGCTTGGCCTACGCTCTCGGACCAAACTACAATAAACCGTGGGAATTCTTCGATGGCGGGGAGCTGCGGTCTGTCGTCGAGCGGACACACGCCGCGGTTGAGAAGGCTAAAGCCGAAGCTGCCAATGCTACTGCTGTTGAGAGGGCACTCATTGATGCGCTCGAGTTCAGATACCCACAAGCTCAACCAGCTGTTGACTGCTCCATCTGGAACCGACCCTATGCTGATGCGATGCAGGCGGTCTATGCATGTTTCCCCGAAGATCTTGATGTGGCTGCCCTCTACGCCGATTCTCTGATGAACCTCACACCGTGGAAGTTGTGGGATTTATCAACGGGCAAGCCTGCTCCTGGAGCACGCACGGTCGAGGTCAAGACCGTTCTGGAGCGGGCACTGAGCCATAGTAGTGGACTAAAGCATCCAGGCTTATTGCATCTCTATGTCCACCTCATGGAGATGTCAGCCACTCCAGAGGTTGCCATGCCTATCGCGGACCGTTTGAGAGGATTGGTTCCCGACTCTGGCCACCTGCAACATATGCCCACGCACCTGGACATTTTATGCGGCGACTATCGTCGGGCAATTGCTTCAAACATGGACGCGATACAGGCTGATGAAAAGTTCTTGGCCAGGGCAGGCCCTCTGAACTTTTATACGCTTTACCGCTGCCACAATTACCACTTTCGCCTCTATGCTGCGTTGTTTGCCGGCCAGTCTCGAGTCGCGTTGGAGACCGCCGATTGGATCGAAGCAACAGTCCCAGAAGAACTGCTTCACGTCGAATCGCCACCCATGGCGGACTGGCTGGAAGCCTTCCATGGGATGCGAGCGCATGTTCTCGTACGCTTTGGCCTGTGGCAAGACATACTTGACCTGCCCCTTCCTAAAAACCAGGACCTCTACTGTGTAACTACAGCTTTGTTCCAATACGCCAAAGGTGTCGCGTTTGCAGCAACTGGGAGACTCGAGGAAGCTGATAAGCAGCGTACTTTCTTCGATGAAGCAATGAAGAGAGTCAAGTCAACCCGCACTCTCTTCAACAACGTTTGTCTGGATATTCTGGTCATTGCCAGATCGATGTTACAAGGAGAAATGGAATACCGACGCGGCAACTTTGACGCCGCTTTCAAACATCTTCGTCAGGCCATCTCGCTAGATGATTCACTGCCATATGATGAACCTTGGGGTTGGATGCAGCCGCCGCGGCATGCGTATGGTGCACTCCTTCTCGAACAAGGTCTTGTTGAGGAGGCTGCTGCGGTGTATAGTGCCGACTTGGGATTTGATGACACGCTACCTCGAGCTCTACGCCATCCAAACAATGTCTGGGCTTTGCATGGTTACCATGAATGTCTGAAGAGGCTAGGCCGTGCGGCCGAGTGCCGCATTGTCAAACCGCAACTGGACTTCGCCGTCGCCATGGCGGACATACCTATCAAGGCGTCGTGTTTCTGCCGCACGGACTTGCAATAACTCGAGCTCGGACCCGCTTTGTTCATGCCATGCAGATGCTGCTGTCGACAATCAGCTCGCATGATCCTCATATGGAGAGAACTGCCACGTCGGGCATGAGCCGCGTCATCTGACTGCATCTGGATTCTCTCTTCCGTCACCGAGATTTTCTCTTTGTCTCCGGGGGCACGAGGATGAGACGGCATGATATCAATGTCACTTCCGGAGCAACGAGCACGAGCCAGCGACGACTCATTCCTTTGTTGACATCAGGTTGTGCTAAGGTATATACTGCCTGTTGTGGTTTGCCGTTTGTGCCACCCATACGTTGTTCAGATATGATCGTTCAAGCCGTTCTAGGAAAATATACACAACAGGCAGCAGACAGTCAATTCGTCCACTTCAACCCACGAACCGTCGATCAACATGAGGTTGCTCAAAGTCGCGGCTTCCCTCGCTCTTGCATCGGTAGTTGCTGCGGTACCTGATCTGTTTAAGGTCAGAAGGGATGCTTCGTCGAACTCGACCTGCGTCTCTCAAAGTGACGCCGAGAACATCGTTGCCAAGTTTATGACCGTCATGGAACATACAGATGTCAACGCTGCCAACGAGACGGTGCAAGAGCTTCTCAGTGACAGTTTTACCGAGACAAGCGATTCGATCAACACCATTGCAGGCAACGCTGTAAGTTCAAGGCCAAAATCAAACTGTGATGACGATACTGAACGCATCTCCTAGCTCGGCAGTATTACCTTTCCCAATAAGGTAGCTTACATCGCTTCCATTCTGAATGCACCAGCACCGCGCAACATTACAACACTCAAGCTCATGCCCGCTGGCTGTACCAACATTCTGTGGTATTGGAAGATGCAGGTCGGTACCGACTTGGTGCCGGTCCAAGGGTTCAACTTGATGGAAGTTGGCGAGAATAACAAACTACTCGGGCAACTCATCGAATTCAACAGTATCGCGTGGGCCGTTAACACAGGTAAGATGACAGCTCTCCCGACATTGCTATTGCTGACGCCTTGCAGGATTCACTGTCAAGAACCGTGTCGGGCAGAACGTCCCTGTGCCCGGCCAAATCTCGGCGTCTGCTACTGGCCTTGCTTCCTCGGCTGCAAGCGTGTCAGCAACATCAGTGCTCCCTCTCTTGCTGACAGCTGTTGTCAGCTATTGGGGAGCTCGTCTTTGAAGTCCTTTGAAAGTGTTTTCTGTGCGGTTTGAAATCTTGCTAGTGTTGACTAGGGACGCCGAGTACGGTGGAGAGGCTGGCGTAGATCTTCAGAAGTAGCTCATAGAAATATTCGACTGCTGGAGACGAGACCGTTATCCGAACCCATCGTCATCGTATCAGGGAATAGTTTCACGACTCTCTCAAACCAGGGCCCGTGGCTGAGGATGGATCTTCGGAAGCGAACGCGGGGTATTTCCAGATGATCCTTCTTTGTCACCCGTTCTGGGTAGGTGCCCTACATTTCTCCGCGTTCCAGCTGACAGAGTACGAGTATCACTGACACGCCGTCGTCTATTGGGTCGCCATTATTTCCTACACAATATACTTTTGCGGGGTCGCGACCAGTGTACTCAGTCATTCCGATTCGCATCTGGAGCCGTACCTCTCAGCCCTCCCGTAGGTATGGTCCTCCCTATTGGTGTCAGACAGCCGCAGCTTTCTGCAATCTTGGCCCGTGTGTTGCTGGTCTTATCTAAGCGCGCAGCCCCTCAATTAGGTGTTCAATCTACACTCGCTGCCCCTTTCAACCGTTTTTCACGTCCATCATGTCATGCTGAAATGGACGGCTTTCACGATCTCATCCGCAACCAAGCTCTTCTGTCTTCAGCATGTGTTAAAGAATCCGCGCCTTCCGCCGCTGCACCTACCACTCCGGAAAAGCGCTACCGCTGCACGACTTGCGGGCAGGGGTTTTCGCGAGCTGAACACTTGAAGCGGCACCAAACAAGGCGTGAGTGATCCTTAGAGTCGGTCTCCATTGCCACTGACACAGCCTGGGAAGACACCGGAGCCAAACCTTTCTCATGCGTCTTCTGTTCGCGCGACTTCTCGCGCAAGTACGTACTTCATCCTTCGACGGGCTTCACCACCGCTGACCAGCCTCGAGGGATCGTCTTCAAACTCACTACAGTCATTGCCAACGGCGCGGTGATAGAGATATTCCTAACTCGATCCCGAAAGGCCGTCGCCCGCATGCGTGTGTGACAGTGAGAATCTGGAGCCGTTGCGAGGTGGCCATCGGACTGACGGCGCTCACAGTGCATCTCGTCCAAGATCCGCTGTGATGGAAACAATCCCTGCGCCCCTTGCAAGAAGAAGCAGGTTCCGTGTCGTCAGAAACGAGGCGCAGGCGAAGATCCAAGTCCGTGCCGCCTACAAAGGGTGCTATTTCGTGGAGCACGCTGACGCCCAATCTAGTCAATGACAAATTTGGTCCAGTTGGCGACCGCGTGTCCATCCAAGCACTGTTGAACGGCGGCATCGATACATTCACAGAGGCGTTCAATCTCCCACTTTGCGATGACCGGCAAGCAGGCATACAGTTCCGCCAACAGAATGAAGAGCCCGAGGACGAGATTGACCCGTCTCACCTCAAATTGGAGGACCAAAGCCCTCTCACTTGTGATTACTCGGCCATGTTTGAAGTCCCGCTTGGAGTTGATGACCAGTATCTGGATTTCTGGACGGGACCGTTTGGATTGATGCCTTCACCATCCTACTCTGATCTGCAGCTGGAACTGTACGATCCGTCCATGGTGTCTTCGGAAATGCAGATGGCTTCCACCCCGTCCACAACGACGCAACCGCCTCCGGACCAAGCGCAGTACGTCTCCGCATTGGCCATGGCCATCTACAACAAGCTATGGTGCCTGGCTTTGGACGAGAAAGCTAGACAAGAACTCACCACGTGTCTAAATTTCCTGCTGACGGGAGAAAAGATCCGGAAATTCATCTCGCTGTACTTTCGCAACTGGCACTTGAATTGTCCCATACTCCACAAGCCCTCTTTCGATCCAGCCAACGTCCCCGTCAGTCTCGTCATTAGTGTTGTCTTCATTGGCGCGATGTATTCCAAAGACCAGACCGAACGGCTCGCTGCGAAGAAACTCGTGGATGTCGCGGAGTTGGTTGTTTTCGACTCGGAGATCTTCTCGTTCGAGAGTGAAGTCACCCGGTCGATACAGGACGAATCCACGCCGGCGAATCCCGACTCCGCTCATGAATGGAAGATATTTCAAGAGCTGCAGGCCGGTTATCTGATGGTTATTGCCCAGTATTGGGGCGGCTCCCGTGGCTCGAAGCGACGGGCGATGCAGTCCCGCTTCGGAGATGTGATCAATGTTGCCCGAAGCATGCAGCTACACCACGCCCGCCATCTGCCAACTGACCGTATCTCGGAAATCGTTTGGTTGCAGAAAGAAACAAAAATTCGCACGATATCAGCCATCGCCTTACTCGATTGTGCCATGCGAATTTATTCCAACTACCCTTGCCGCATCACGCTGGCCGAACTTGATAACGATCTGCCTTGTAAAGAAGCGATCTTCAGCTCGCGACACCCTTTCATGCAGGACGAATCAATCTTTGCTCCGCGACTTACAATGCCGCAATGTTTCGCCCTTCTCTTCGATGGAAAGGCCAAGCTCCCGAATTCTACCGCGCCTTCAGTACTTTCGTCCCAGGCAGATGCGTCGGAGGCCGAAGCACCATTGGAAGGGGCAGATACTAGCTGCGACCTCACAATATTTGATCTTTTCATCCTGATACACTGTAAGGCTACCGCGCTAGTCCGAGTTCCGAAGGCTCTCATAACTGACCCGATTCTAGTTTTGTATACCTACGTCCACTCCTGTATTATGACCATGTCGCTTAACCTGCCTACCACGAACTTTGGACCTGGATCGAAGTCATCCCTCGCCATGGGCCGGATTACCCATCAAGTCAAAGGAGCGTTAGAAAAGTGGCGCCAGTTATGGGAGGCCATCCGCTCGCAAACCCAGGATAAGTCACTGAAGGCTGAGGGCATGTACAGAAACGCCTTCAAGTTCTGGGTCTTATTACAATTCATCTTGGCCAAGGAGGAAGCCATTGACGTGATCACGGGCATGGAAGTCAACTGCGACGATGCCTTGACGAAACTCAAAGTCCTTTTCGAGAGCGACAATGAACCTGATGGGCGATCTTAACCAAATGATGTGAAAGCCTACCAGAGGCATATGTTTTTCCTGGACCGTACGAGCTTCCGACGATATCCAAACCGCATCTCCTACAATCACCATATCTGCAGATTTGCGCAGAATCGTATAGCCGGCGAAACCGCGCCATCGGCTCTGTATCGCTGCGACCCTTTGTCGATGGCCGTGGGAAATGTCAATCGCTAAAACCGGAATATTAGCCGTAGACCCGCGTGTTTACCCACTACCCGACCAGCTTAGAAATCCTACTATCACTACGAGATCGAGAGCTAGAGCTGCAAACCGCAAACCCTCAAGTCTATCTAACTCATACGAGCAATCAGAATGGGAGATAACAACGCGAATTATCAAAACGCCTTACAGACTGCAACGCACCTATGACTACTAGTTGGACCGTTGCTCGCTTCTCGATTGTCTAGACAAAGTGCCCATCGCCTTTCCTTCCGAGTCTGGCGAGTGCATGTTAAGACTCTCTTTTTGTTGCTAAGCCTATCCTCTTCGCTTGCGGGATGCGTTTCTGGGAAGGCACCTCTCTGCAAAGTCGCTGAAGCGGCTTTGTGAGACGGTTCGGCAGCGTACATGGAAGACTTGCAGTACAGAGCTAGATCACGAGCGCTCAGAACAACTTGGAGGTAAAGGCAGAAACCAGTGCTCCGGCGGCCTATGTACACGAACTCCAGCGTCTTCAGGGTTCCTGAGCTTCCATCTGTCCTGATCATACTGAGACTTTCTCAGTATGAACAGTTGCTCCGCCCTTCGTAAGATCATCCAACTGCTGTTCGGCGATCTCGCGAGCTCTTTCGGAGGACACACACTGATATGTCTTGAATTGGCGACGTGGGACCTTGTTGACGAACATTTCGTCGATTTCCTCGAGGGAACGTCCTTTGGTCTCGGGTATCAACAGGAAAAAGAACACTGGGACCCGAAGTCAGCAGGAAAGCAGACGACGATTCATGGATACTCACGAAATGCAATTGCGTTTGAACCTGCCCAGATATATCCATACTTCGCACCCCAGTTCAGATTGTTCGCGTTCAGAAAATATGGTGTACAGTATGAGATCAACCCTGCCAATGGTCAGTCAATGTTTGAAAGCGGATGCTAACGATGCTCACAGTTGAAGAAATAGTTGATTCCAGTCCCGAGCCCGACACTGAACACACGTAGTCGAGAGCTGACAAGTTCACCCGCGATCGGCCACGTGATGGTCCCGGTGAAGCCATTGTAGAAGAAGTTGAACAACAGTGCAAAGGCCACCAGTGCCTGACCGGCACGGTGCGAATGGCCAGCAAGACTCAGCAAGCCGATCACAAGCATACAGATTCCACATCCAGCGGAGCCGATCAACAGCATTGGACGACGACCGAAGACCTTGTGCATCAGGAACATGCCGCACAAGGCTCCGACCAGACCAAGACAGTTCTGCATAATCGTCGCCTGGAACGGCTTTTCAATGCCCGCCATCTGGTAGAAGAACGTGCTGTATGAGATGGTGAACCAGATCCCAGATGCGGCATGGGAGGCGATCGCTCCTGCAGCGAGGATTGTGCGGCGCCGATCCGTTCCTTTGAACATGTCGAAGACCGAGGTCGAAGATGCCATCTCCTTTTCTTGCTCAATGCCTCTCTGCATCTCGACGAATTCTTCGTTGAGCAGCTCGGGCTTCAGGGACGTGCCTCGGAGCTTCTCCAGGGCTTGGCGAGCCTCCTCTGGCCTGTTGTGCAAGAGAAGCCAGCGAGGTGATTCGGGGACGAAGAAAACAAAGACGCTCAGGAGGACCGGAATTGCGAACAGCGAGGCCAGCGGAATTCGGTACGCCAGTTTGCTGTCCAGGGTCTTGCTGTAGTTGTCCGCGATTGCTCCAAGTATGCTGCCCAAGTTCACCCAGAATCCAAAGAACGACGCAAGGATGGCGCGGTGCTGAGGAGGCGCGACTTCGACCGTGTACGTATTCGAAAAGAGGATGAAAAACCCATTGCCGAGTCCGAGAAGGATTCTGCCAGCGTACAGACCCGCAAGGCTGTTGACTCCGACCTGGACACCACAAGCGACCATCGAAACAACCGCAGCCACCCAAATTGCTGGCTTCCGACCGAACTTGTGCGAGAAAGGACCTCCGAGAAGCACCGCCACGATGGTTCCGACGTTGAGAAAGCTGGAGATCAACTGTTGAGGTTTGGTGTTTATATTCCAGCCGCTTTTGGAACTCTCGTCTCTGTAGCCGAAGACTTCCAGGAAGCCGATCATGGCCTGAAAGCCGGCCACGGCAGCCGTATCTGCGATGGTTAGCCCTTGGAACTCTGTCACCTCAGAGGCGCCGTACCAAAGCCATATTGACAGTTGGCCATGCTCACCACACAGCATATGATGAGACATTTCCAATTGTCGAGGAGGCGGTTGTTTCGTCCTTCGCTAATCATCTTGACGTTGGTAAGAGTCCCCTGCTCAGTCCGCAGAGAGCGCAGGATGCAGCCGCCGTGCATCCCATCGACTCAAATATAACAACCATCTCCGCAAATCTGGCGTCGCGCTAGTCCGGGGCAAGGTCGGGCCCAGATCTCTGGATCAACGTCCCAGTCACATGGGCTCCGGAGAGGCGGCGCGGACTTTGACCGGTGGCTCCCAAGGGGCCAATTGCACCATCCTCTTTCAAATATAAAAAGCTTTTGTTGCGCGACAGAGCCGCCCGTCAATATTAGGAGATCTTGGCTCTTTCGCACCCTGTATCTACCGGAGTCAAGGCGTGGTGATTGTGGGGCTTGCTCAGTACAAGCCGCGTCAAGACTCGTGCCACAGAGGCTTCGACCTCCAGGGAAGTCGGTCGGAAGCAATCCGGTTCCCATGTGGGATCTCGCATGAACGTGGGTGCGGAGTCCCGGCATTGGACTTCGCCAAACTCTAGTCTCTCAAAAGTGGTATCCTCCACCTCCCGAGATTAGGGTGAAAAGACATAGAGGATTGGATAAGGTCGTCCAAACACCACCAAGGCCCTGATACTCCAAGTCAACCTACGTTCTCAGCTTGTCGGACATGCCAAGCTCTACAATAATGGAGACCTCGTCAGATGCCACCGTTCGACGACCTATGACAGTATGTCAAAAGATCCTGGTGCACCATGCCCTGGGTCTTGATGTACCTTACGTCGAGCCAGGAACAGTGATTCGGATCGCCCCAGATTGGTTCCTCTCATCCGAAGTCGCTTGGTTCGGAATGAATAAAAGCTACCAGCGGATGGGCCGTCCTGGAATTCGTCGCAGGGACAGGTTCTGGCTTGCAGGCGATCATGTCGTGGATCCGAGAGTCAATCATCAAGCATATGAGAAGTCTCTCATTGAGGCTTGTGATCAGATTGCAAAGGAAATGGACCTCGGTGACAATTATGCCGGCCATAACACCACCATCATGCACACAGAATACTACCGCTCTCGATGCCAGCCCGGTATGCTCGTCATCGGCGCCGACTCACACACATCATCTGCAGGGGCTCTGGGCAGCCTGGCAATTGGCGTCGGCGGCACTGACATGATTCTACAGCTTGTCACCGGCGAGACCTATCTCGAGGTGCCAGAGATTGTCCGCATTAATTTCGTCAACAAGCCGCCCCTCGGTGTTAGCGGTAAAGATGTCATCCTGGGAGTGATGCGCAAACTTAGGAGGAATACCGTCGCTGCAGGTCGACTCGTCGAGTACACAGGGGAGGGACTGCAATATCTGTCATGCGATGCCAGGTTTGCAATTGCGAACATGACGACGGAATTCGGTGGCATCGGAGCTTGCGTGGTTCCAGATGGAATCACTCTCGAATACATCCAGCGTCGAAGAGACCCACGACACAAGTCCGATAGCATGTACTTTCAGCCGGATTCCGACGCGCAATATGCCGAGTCGTTCGACGTCGACCTGGCGGACCTGGAGCATTTCATTGCGCTGTATCCATCTCCAGACAATGTCGTCCCAGTCAGCGAAGCCAAGGAAAAGCTCCAAAAGTTGCAGGGAGTCTTCATTGGCGCCTGCACCACCACGGAGGAAGAGTTGATCCTTGCAGCACTCGTGTTGAAAGAAGCAATGGCTCAAGGCATGAAACCTTCTGCGCCTGGACTGCGACGTGTTACCCCAGGTTCGAACTCCATCGTCGCCAGACTCAGAGAATTGGGGCTGTTGGACGTCTATGAGCAGGCTGGCTTTGTGATTGGCCCGGTTGGTTGCAGTTACTGCGTGGGTATGGGAGTCGACAAAGCCGGCAAAGGCGAAGTTTGGTTGTCGTCGCAGAACAGAAACTATCGCGACCGGATGGGTCCGGGCTCGATTGCCAACATCGCGTCGGCGGCAACTGTTGCAATCTCCAGTTTCTCCATGTCGTTGCAAAGCCCGGAAGATATTCTTCGGGTGATTGACATGGCCGAGTTTGATGCCATGAGGAAGTACCGACCGCAACAGCCGAGGCCGTCTCCGAACTACGTCCAACCCGAGCTGCTTGCTACGGGCTTGACCGACAGCGTCAATGAGCATAAGACGGGAGATGACAGAAAGCCGCCATCGCTTCCCGAGTCAATCCAAGGCCGCATCCAGCGATTCGGAGACAACGTTGACACCGACAGTATCATCCCAACCGATAAGTGTCATTCTCACCTGACTCGAGAAGAGGTTGCCCGAGGTGCATTTTGCTACACCCGGCCTGAATTCTACGATCGTGCTCAGGCGGGTGCCACGATCGTTGTTGCCGAGAAGAGTTTTGGTTGTGGATCTTCTCGAGAGCAAGCTCCGAAAGCGTTGATGTGGGCTGGGATCCAAGCTGTCATCGCCAAGTCCTATGCCTTTATCTATCAACGAAACCAGGTCAACAATGGGTTGATGGGAATCAAGATCCAGGATGACGAATTTTACCGTCTCGCGCAGGAAGGCAAAGAGATTGTGATTGATGTCAAGAATCGCAAGATCCATTGTGAAGGATTGACGTGGGACTTTCGACTTGATCGGATTCAAGAACAGCTGCTCGCAGAGGGTGGGCTTCTCAGCACGTATGAGAGATACGGACCAAGCTTGTTTTCGAAATTGCAGAGTCTTGACCTGGCAGCGGGACAAGGGAAAGAGAATGTACCGCAAGCGATCGTTTCTGAAACATCAACGCAGGCAAGGTCTGTGGAGTGGTGATAGGTCCACGAGTGTAACCACATTGTCGTATATATCCAGGAAGTCCTTATCTCACAATCGGGCAGTATCCCGTCCCTGTTGTGCGTGGTCGATGCATGACGCGGTCGATGAAGCCGGAAAAGTAATCTGGTATGACGCCGGTTGACAATATCCAACCTGAACAAGCCAGGAACCAGACTTGGCACAAGGCGTAGTGAATCAGCGTACTGTCAGCATCTATGAACAGCGCAGTAATCAGCTCTGAAGGAGTGGGCTCAAGCATGATGTTGGTTTTGATGAAAACTGCTGTGCACTTCCTCGAGCTGATATGCATAAAACACACCGCCACGTCGCATCAGAAGATTACATCGATGACAGCATGGTCATATGTGCGCAGGCTATTCCATTTTTATATGGTGTAATATCAATGTGCTTGGGTTGTGCGACTATCGTTGTACAGTACTGCTCACGGTAAATTCACCTGTACAATTAGGTATAAGCGAGGCTCTTCATATCCAGAATAGACATTTTGCTTCGCTCCGCCAATCAGATATTGCTAAATGCGGAGAATTGCACAACGGAAGCACAAGTACGGAGTACTCCGTGTTATCTCTTCGACCTCAGCGGGTTTGCAGCTTTGAGCACTGCAGTGCAAACGATACGAGCTCCATTGCCTCGACGTGTTTGATGTCCAATCGCATCGATGCGCAACTGCGGGCGAGGTTTGGCAAGGCTTGCGTCGCTTGACTTAAAGCTTGTGTCAATCGACACGGGCTTCAGTCGGTGCCATCTCGCTTCTAAATCTCGTTGGCCTGCCAGGCCATTCCGAGTCGCAATGCCAAGCAGGCGAGACCGGGGCCCGCAGGCGTGAGACGTGGGAAAGGGCCCCGGGCTCGCATCTTCCCCAGGATCCAAGCACCATTTCCTTCTTTCGAGAGTGAGTCAACAGGTCACCACCTCAATTTGAATCATCGATCATGCCGCATCTGAAAACGTGTTCCATTTGGTCGCTACAGCAGTTCAATCAGGCACGGGACAGATTCTTTCCTGTTCCCAGCCCGTCGCTATCTCTGCCCTACCGGACTTCAAAGACTGATAGCCTACGCTCCCGTTGTCGTGGATTGTCGACTCGGCGCACTCGGTATCGTCCAACACACCTCTTCTACTGGCGACGTCCTTCGCTATGAGAGCGAAAGCTTGCACCAAATGCCGGCAATGGAAAGCCCGGTGCGAGTACGACGAGGATGATTCCGCCGGCTGCTCACGTTGTCGGGCCCTCAAGCTGCCCTGCGTATTCGACGCGTCCTTCAAGCGCACCTCGAGGGCGAAATCGCTCCGCATGATGTCATCTAAGATTGAAGAGTTACAGCAGGCTCTGCGGGAGAAATCCCCCAGCAATGGGTCCTCGAGTCAGACACGAGAGCATAACGAGACACTACCGCTGAACAATTGGTCACCACAATTACATAGTATTGTCGACACGATCACGATTACACAGCCTCCTATGGATCTTGCACCGATCCTGCCGGCGCCCTCTATCAGCTCGGCGGGGGCATCGTCCGCAGGATATCGCTCTCTTGGAAATGTCTCTCTGACACATGGCCAGATCAACGAGCACTTCAAGACATATTTTGCCCGATGTCACCAGTATCTGCCCTTCAAGATGACAACACACTCACCAGACGCCATCTACACGAAGAGCCCATTATTGTTCTGGGTCATCTGCACGACTGCGGCAAGCTGGAGACTCCGCTGCCAATTTGCCCCATCGGTCAAAGCAATGCTTGCAGATTCCATCTATTCATTTCCTCGCTCTGTTGAACAAGTCCAAGCCCTCCTCATCATGTCCATGTGGCCATTCCCCGTCTCATCGATGATGGAAGACGTATCTCATTACTATTGCTGTCTGGCTACCCAGATGGCTCTCCACCTAGGATTACACCGTCCGACACAGGCACACTTACACGAACACGGAATGGAAGAGCGAGAAAATGCTCGAGCTGTCAGCGAAGAAGTCAAGACCACGACATGGCTTTCCTGCTTTATCGTCAACCTGAAACTCTCGGCCATTCGGGGGTTACCTCCATCAATTCCCATCGATGCTCACTTGATCAAGGCATTTGAGACGAGATCAATCAATGTAAGGCTCTCGCAGCTCTGCCGTATTTTTCATGCCTTGATGCAAGCAAACCTCGCCATCAGTGCCAATGGCTCAACTCCTTCCGGCATGTTGGAACCTGAACAGCGGTTGAGCACGATCAAGAGCTGGGCGGAACACTTTTCAGTCCTTGAACACCAGCATCTCGGGGATATGGACAACGTTGTCAAGATCGCCTTTCTGAGCTCGAGGTTACAGCTCTGGTCGTTTGCTCTTCTCGACGACATGACTGTTTCATCATCGCTCATGGCATTCATCGACAACGCAAGACGAGATGCCAGCGATCTGATTGAATCATGTTACAGCCAAAACTTATCGATTGTGCCCGCATGCGTACGCTACGATATATGTTACAGTGCATTTATCTTGATCAAGATCCTCCGGTCCGGCTACAGTTCCGAGTCGGAAGTCCTTCAGGACGACGTTGAACGAGTGCGCCAGGCACTCAGTACCACATCAGGAACACCCGATGACACTCACCATAAGGTGTGCGATACACTTCGAAGGCTTCTCTATATCGAAGACAAAAAGCTTTCCCCACCAATCTATACAAGAATGGGTGCTTCAGTAGTTTACGATCTACTACGAATCCACGCGGAAGATAAATATTGTACCGCACAGAACCATGGCGCCGAGAATCCGATCATCGATCTTGAAGGTCTTGACTGGAACTTCCTGGATATGTTGGGATAACACATGATGATCCTAATACCTGGTACGGTGCTAATGGTAACCTGTGCCTACACTCTCAGGAACGTACCTTGGGTCAATATTGCTTCTGTCAACGAACCGGGCACCCTTCCTCACCGATGTTCAATATACACGCCGCCAAAGAGTATACCTGAGTTGATATGGAAGTCCTTTTCATCCTCCAACGACCTATTCATGTGAGGATGGATCTACCTACGCCTTGCGTAGTCCTGCAGGATATCAACTAGTTTCTTGTTCTGGCGACGGAGCACAACCATCAATACCGACGCGATCAACACCGAGAGCCACGAGAACGCCCTGGCAGTCGCGTGGCCTTTCACGTATCTCGGACCGTTATCATAGATGTTGGCGCCCATGATCGATAAGAGCTGTCCAAAGATTTCTGCCATCGCCCAAGTGGTGGCACGCTTGGTGAATCCAGCCGTGTTGATTACGAGCCAAGTGAGAAGTAGCACAACGGCTGCATACATTCCGCTTGTTATGAAGCAAGTGGCAACTACCTTGGACGCAGTGGAGTTGACACGAAGCAGTATGACATAGCCAATGGTGTTGACGGCAAACCCCAACATTGACGAAGGGTCCTTTTACATTGATCCGGTCGCTGATGTAGCACAAGATGAGCAGAGAGCAGAAGGCGCAGGCGTATGGAATGACCGAGAACAGCTGCGCATCCAGATTGCTGAAGCCGAAGTCGCGAGGGAACTTCGGCAAGGAAAGTTCCAATCGACGATAGGCAAAGACCACTGGTCGCCTTGAACATGGCGAAGGCGTACGATTTTGGGTCTTTGAGGCAATCCCAAACCTGGGACCACTGAATCTTCGAGCCTGTCGTGTTCCAGCCTAGGCTGGTCAGCACATGGACGCAGTAGATCTTCTCGGCTATCACGTACTAGACGTTCTCTCCAATACCAAAATGATCTCGTCCTTGGTGAAAAGCCAATGTTTCCCATTCTTCATTCTGTCGGGAAATGGGGCCAGAAGGATTGTCACAACAACTCCCACTAAAGTGGCCATAGCTCCCTCAATCAGAAAAAGCCACGACCGCGGCGAGCGGCTACTGTGAGCTAAATTCTCCCTACTCGCGTACGGTATCAAGCCGCTGAACGCGCCTGACAGGGTCGCAGTTGAGAAAATCAAAGCTGCGTAACCTGTCAGTGATGGTTCATGGCGGTGGAAAGGTTCTGACATACCTCCTCTGGTGGCAATCTCCCGGCTTGTGTACCAGAAGCTGTTGTAAACGCCTGAGTTCTGCGTGAACAATTGCGCACAGCGGACAGTAGTATAGCTCTTTGCTGTCGACATGCTGCACAGAAATATGCTGAAGGAGATACAGGCACCACCCAACACCCACTGTGGCGGGATACACCGTAACGAGACAGAACCTGGAAACATACAGATTGTGTATCCAATAATTGTGATCCGTCAGGGCAGCACACACTAGGGACCGGAATTGGCAACTTACAGAAGTACTGCGCTGTATGAGAATAGTCTGCGTTGGAGAACCGAAGTTCTTTCTGCAGTCCGAGAAGTCTACCATTGCCAAAACTGTTTCTGTCCTACGATAGGTCAGTACTCAAAAGTCATTCAGTAATGAGGCTTCATACCAGAAAGGTCACGAAGTAGATCAGCGCAGGAGAGGAAGTATCAGCAGGTCTTGTTTCCACATCAATCTCCTCTCCAGGCTCGAACTGATTTGCTTTACTTCTGGCTGGAGCGTGTAGGCCGTTGTCAGCTTACGGTTTGCGTCTTCAAACGCCGGAGAGGTAGACATCGATGTCTGGTCGCTTGGTTGAGATCTCCGAAATCACATCGAAAAGCTGCGGCGCGAGTGGTGTGATCACAATAGTACGAGTGAACACTTGTCTAGCCAGGTGTTCTTATATGGTGAAGCTTCACTAAAGCTTTAAGCCAAGCATTCCCCAGTTACCTAGTTCGAGTGGGTATACCAAAGAGGAGCGAGAGCAATGCGAGTCGCTTGTTACAACTTGACCTTCAGCACGACCAAGGACGGAAACAGGAAAGGCAGCTAGGCCGAGCTCAGGGAACACGGGATCCCAGCCTTAGGAGCGTAAGGCTGAGGTCACGTGACGGCTCAGTCGGGCTCAGTAGGCTCAGTCTAGCTCAGCACTGAGCACACTGAGCTACCCTGAGCCAACTGAGCCAAGGCAAGTTATATATATATAGGTAGCACCCACCTCTATAGCACTGTAGTCAACTTCGTTAATACTCTGACCCCCACCTTTGGACAAAGAGTGTTCTTCCACTGTCACGCCCTTGCAAGTGACCGCGTGCCCTTCACCCTCAGCAGACATACAGTTGTCACTCCCCACAAGTAAACCTACTTGGACCGTATACCGCCTCACGTGGCGCGATTTATAATATCGCTATTAACCCGATACATCTACAGATATAGGGTGGGCGCAGCACTATTTAGGCATAACCTAAGCATGGGAATTCCGGATTGGATCCGTAATGGTATCGCCGCAGTAAACATCAAGAGATCACCTATAGTCGGACTCGGGATTGGAGTTGTTGTGTTACGAAAGCTGGTGGTTAGACCTCGATTCTGCTACGCTCACAAAATGTTAGGGACAGCCTAAGGCGATAGGCAGAGGGTAATAGTTAAGGGTCTCAATAGTATTAGGTATCCCTAGACCTCTAGGTTATACAGGACTCGAAGCATGAGAAGAGGATGGGACTCTCATGCGAGAGGCGCGAGAGTTGTATACGTCCTCTTGGCAGGCTTAGTAAGCTCTAGTAGCTGTTCCTGACACCTTACCCTCGTGTAGATATATAGTTTTTACCCCTCATAAGTAAACTACTTAGACCGTAGATCACCTCACGTGGAGCGATTCATAACATAAAGGCGCCGTACTAACTATAGTTCAAATACCTTAGCTTTTCCTCTAGCACAAGTAGAGGGTTTTACAGCTAGTATTAGTTATAGTCTATATAGTCGCTTATGGAGGTCTTAATTAGACTCTAAAAAGAATAGAAAAACAAAAAGAAAAGAAAAGGAAAAAGAAAAAGAAAATTATTACTAGTGTAAATTAGTCAACTAGGGTGAGGCTTCATTACTAACAGGGGTTGCCTCTCTACGGCGGCATGTTCTGCCCTTCTTACACTCAACTACCCTACATCTCAAAGGAGGAACATGATGCCTATAAGTGAGTAGAGGGTATTGATTATCCGTGTATATCCTCTCTATAAACTATCGAAAGTAAAGACAAAAACAAAAAGGGAAAGGAGCACAGCCCTACACTAAACCTCTACTAATCAAAACGCTTCGTTACTTCGCAAAACATTGTTTTGCGAAACGGTAGCCTTGCTAACTACAACTCCTCAGTCCTAGTATAATAACAATATAACTATTGTAACGGGAATGACAGAGCTTGTGGATGCTGATTAGCTGCACGTGACTGTGCACTCTGCACAGGAGTATAATGCTGCCTTCTCATTGGTTGGGGCCTTAGTGCCGAGTGCTATGTTTTAGATAGATTTTAGACAGCGTGCTTGATTGCATTCAACATGCATGCACACACATGCATGCACACCATAGGCAATCCAACAGTATCATCTTGTTTTACAGTGCTCTGTTGCGATGTAGTGTGTATCTGGAAAAAGAGGCAGTGCCTGCCGCCGCACGATCCTTCGCCCGATGGCTCTGAAGCCGCACACCAGTTCACTGTCGAAAATAAAGGTTCACTATCGAAAATAAAGGTAAAACGGAAAGAAAGAAGTGTACTTAGACTAAAGCTACACTTATTAGAAGGCTAAATTACTTTACTATATATATATATATTTATATAGGGAAAATAGTAGCCTTCTGAAACTATAGCTAGTCAACTAGCCCAAATTTAACTAACGATATCTCTATAATGACAAGGTCAACTAGTCCACGGTCTTTACCTCACCATCCGCTATCAGGTCTCAACTGGCGTGGGTCAACTGGTTGAGCTCAGTGTATAGGCGAGCTAGGGGAGCTCTCTCAGAGGTACCATCTCCTTCTAGGGTCGACTAGTTAATGGCG